ATTGACTATTTTAAAATCAGTTATTGAATGAGAAATAGTACATTTTTACCTAATCTGACGTTGCCAATCGATCCACCACCATTTCAATGTATAACTCCATTTTGACAAAAATGAAAATAGTGCGTTTTGCATTGTCGCCTCACAATTAACAATATTACTAATTAAATTTTATCACTAAGGTACTTTTCCGACTGGTGTAAAAAAAGAAAAATCTTTTTCTGCGTTGGATGAAAATCACCAATGTAGTGTTTTAGTTGCTTTTGAACTTCAACCACATGCGTCAATTAGAATGGTAGCTAGGCAAACAGATATTAGTTGTTCTTCGGTCCACCGTATCTTACATCAAAATTCTTACCATCCTTACAAAATCCATTATGTACAAGGGTTAAAACCGACAGACTCAATCAGAAGAATAGATTTTATATCACATATGGTAGTGTTGCATGATGAAAATGAAAACATTTTTTCAAAAATGTTGTGGTCTGGTAAAAGTTGTTTCAACAATAATGGTATTGTAAACCGTCGAAATTCACACTTTTGGAGTAAAAATAATCCACACTGGACACGTGAAACAAATGCACAAATTAGATGGTCAATCAATGTTTGGTGTGGGATTTTTAATAATCAGTTAATCGGACCATATTTTTACGACGGTATATTAACTGGTCTTCGGTACCTTGATTTTCTGGTCAATATTTTGCCTGATTTGATGGCTGATGTACCTGATGCAGTTTGTGAAAATATGTGGTTTCAGCAGGATGGTGCTCCACCTCATAACGCCAATGTAGTTAAGGATCATTTGAACCAGCAGTATTCATCACAATGGCTTGGTACAAATGGTCCAATCAAATGGCCTCCACGATCTCCTGATTTGACTCCGTTGGATTTTTTCTTGTGGGGTTACTTAAAAGACAAGGTCTATGAGCAACAATCAAAATCCTCGATAGATTTAAAAGAATGTATAACTGCAGCATGTAGTACAGTAACAACGAAAATGTTGAAATCTGTCATGAATTCAATCCTACAGCGATACGAAAAGTGTTTAGAAAATGATGGAGGGCATTTTGAAAACGTATTGTAGTTAATGATATTTTGTTATTGTTTAATAAATACAATACTTAATATTACATACGCAGTTGTACTTACTGAGCATTTACTGTTGACACAATAACAATTATTGTCTGTTAGTGTTGGATCACATATTTTATGTAAAATATTTTGTTTAATGTAAATTTCTATTATCTGTGTGTTGAATATTAGAGATTATTTGATTACGGTATAATATCAATATTATACGCATAGACAATACCACGGTCTTAGATGACACCACAGTGACACTAAGATAGATAAGATATAATTATCAATCTCAGTGGACCTTGATGTAATCATAAATAAACATAGAAAATACTATCTGTAGCCGTGGCCCGTGATACGTTGGATTTTTTCATGGAAAAATCAAGATAGTAAAGACCTAAGTCGGATCAAACAATTAATTTGGAAATAATATAAATTTGTGCAAACTTCAAAAAATTGTAGAAAATAAACGGCTGAACATTTTACATTTTTTTTTTTTTACAAACATATTTTAAAAGTCATATCAATAAGATGGCTATTTTGAATTTTTCAACTATCAAATAATAAATTTTTTAAATTTTAAAATTTTATATAAAAAATGTTAAAAAAAATCAAAAAATATTTTAAATGTAGCGCAGACGACAATTGACAATTTAAAAAAAAAAAAAAGTTGAAAATGTTCAGTAGAACCAAAGTAATTGCAATTGTCAGTTCATCGTGAAACACCCTGTATATATATAAAATTTAATATTTAGGACTTAGTTTGATTTTAATTTAAATATTTAATACTAGTAATAAATAACTTTTTTTTAATATAAAAATGATTAAACATATCTGTTTCACCTTAGTCACTCCTGCCACAGCGGTCAGTGCCTAGAACTTGCACCTAGATGGATTGGACGGGTACACAGTACTTAACAAGCTAATATATAGATATATTAAATGACAAAAGAACTTTGTCAATGAGCTGTATATTAAAACATGAAAATATAATAATAAATAATAATAAAATAACAATGTCACTGTGATGATCAGCCAACAGTAGACATTAACAAACAAGATACATATATATCAAAATACTAAGCATAAAATATTAAAAAGGAGGAAAACAACAAATTAACATAACGAGCAAACTGCTCGTTAAGGAACAAGACATATAATAATATATAATAATAAGAGAGCAAAAAGGGAAATGTGTCAGAACACGTGGACCGCTGAGTTGCCGGAATCTTCACGTATTGGCCAATGGTGGCGACTGCACAAAACCAGGAACTGGATGAGCTCATACTGAGCTAGCTGACGAATATATAATAACGATTGTAACTAATTGAATGGAGAAAACCAAAGAAAGGTTTGATGCCGAACTGGCTTAGCGAACTGCTGTTTTATTGCGTAAAAAAGCAATATACGCGAACTGTGTACACGAACAACAACAATATGGCGAACTGGTCCGCGTAACGGCATAATATCCGTTGTCTTGAGCTTGACCTGCAAGGGGGTGGAGGAAGCGTCCTCCACCAGTGACACCAACGACGGGCAGTGGGCACAACCGCCCTAGCATACGGTGACCAAGTCCGAACAATATCATAACATTTTTTAACAAACTAATCGCTTACTATATTTATAGGTGGAAATTATAGAAACAGAAATAAAATCAATGACAAAATTGGGCGCTCAAAAAAAGGAAAGATGTGAAGTTAAAAAAACGTTAAACAAAACAAAAAAAAAAATGAGTAGTATAAAGTTTTATAAGATATTGAAAGAATAAATTTTATAATTCGATTTTTATAGAATATTTTTATTTAGTCAGTTAATACAGAGTGAAAAAATCGGAAAATATGTAATGAACTCAATTATAATCGGGCAAAGTGGAGGAATTGTAACTATCAAATCGGTTGCTGATGAAAAATGTGCTGATATTGGACGTTAGCACATTATAAAACTAAAAACATTGAACATATTGATTCTAAAGACAGGTGATATATATATATATGTATATAAATTAATATTTTTTTCTTAGTATTTACTTTGAAAAAAGTTAGTGTATATTAATGTAATAGTCCAGTCAAATTAGGAAAAAGATTGGAACTAATTCCTCGAAAGCTGAATTTTGGTACACAGTTGGTCCATAGCTTACTGATTGACATACTAAAAGTCCTCAGACTTACCTCCTGTGCATAGCTCTCCACCCCTTCAAAAGGGGGTGCGTACCCTCTTTTTTATTTTACACTATAACTTGGTTAATATTGGACTTACGGCTAAAAAGTATAGAATAAAAATTAAAGACCGTAAAATTACCCATAGGACTATGTAATTTTGCATACTCACATTATACAATTTTTTGAAAAAAATTTAATTTAAAAAAAAATTAATTTTGTTATTTTAGTTTTTATCCAAAAATACTAATCGTACGTCAAAATGACTTGTGTGAAAAATTGAAGACCTGATAATTTTGTATATGTTTCCTTTTTTTTTTTTAAATTACGGTAAGCTTAAAAATATTTGGTATTTGCGTCGATGTAATATAGTTATTTGTAATACTGGAGTATTTAACACTTTTGTAAAATAATATACGAGTATTCTAATAAATTCAGTAAAAGCTGAATTTTAGTACGCGTTAACTTATATGCCACGAATAGATATATACTACACTATAACTTTTTTTCCCTTATAATAGGGCTGTACATTTTGCTGGTTCTCTTTATAACTCATAAGCTGTCAAAATTACCCTTAAAATATTCTGAATCAAAAATTAAGAATTTTGGTACACTTTTATTCATCATAGAGCTTAACAACTAATTATTGTATCTAAAATAGGGAAAAGACAAATTTATAACTCATAGATTAATAATAACAGTCTTGATTATTATTGTACAGTCTACTTTTTTTTCTTTCAATTACATAAAATAACCTATGAAATAACTACATATCTGTTTAATATCATGTAATGTATACAATTTTCTCATCATGCTATTGGCTCTTTGTTTGTTGGCAACTGTAATAAAAAAAATGTATACACATTAAAATAATATAATATGTAATTTTACATTTGAAAAATCTTACTTAATCATTCAATGGTGTTAATTTCTGTTTTTTCGTGGATGTAGAATGACTATCTGCGTCCTCTTCAAATGTTTCTTCAAATATTACTTCATCTTCGTCAATGATCGACGAAGAGTTCAAACACGTTGAACCTTGGCAGTGTTTAAAAATTACTGAACACTTCATACCTGCCTTTTTACAGCCACAGTTCTGTTCGCACATTTTCGTACAGGTACAACTGATAACAGTCAGTAAAGATTACATTATACATATGATACAAGATGTACACCTTTTGATTTTTACTCATTATTTTTGGATGATGAAATTATCCAGTTATTGGTTGAAAAGACAAACCTATATGCTGCAGAATTACTAAAATCTGTAGTTAGTCCTCATTCACGCCTAAAACAATGGGAAAACGTTACTCCCACTGAGATGAAAAAATTCTTAGGAATTATTATGTGGATGGGATTATGTCCTAAACCTTCCATAGCTTCCTATTGGAAAACAAATAATATTATTTATATATCCAACATACCTAAATTTATGAAACGAAAACGTTTTGAACTTCTTTTACGAACATTCCACTGCTCTAATAATGCACTTTGTCCCCCAGGAGATCGTTTATTTAAAGTAAATAAATTACTTGATTTGCTTTTATCAAAATTTAAAATGGCACGAGCTCCAAAACAGTCTATGTGTATTGACGAGTCAATGATTCCATTTACAGGACGTCTTTCATTTAAACAGTATATTCAAAACAAAACACACAAATATGGAATAAAATTATTTAACTGTGCATTGACAATTTTTACACGGTTGGTATTAAAATTTATGCTGGAAAGGAGGCTACTGTTGGTCAGAAAGTGTCAACCAAAGTAGTAATGGATATGGCAGAAGATTATCTTGACTTAGGTAGAACAATGTATACTGATAATTGGTATAGTAGCTACGATTTGGCAAGTGAACTCTTAAACAGATCTACTAATTTAGTCGGCACTTTACGTTCTAATAGAAAAAATAATCCTAAAGAAGTGGTCAATAAGAAATTGAAAAAAGGAGAGGTAATTGCGAAACAATGTAATAAAGGCATAACTGTATTGAAATGGAAGGACAAGCGTGAGGTTTTAATGATATCAACAAAACACTCAGATGCTCAATCTACGATAATTAATAAACGAGGAAAAGAAGTAATAAAACCTCAAGTTATTATAGATTATAATAAAGGCAAAGGGTTAGTTGATGTAACTGATCTTAGAAATTCTTATCGCAACCCTCTTCGTAAAACTGTAAAATGGTATAAAAAAGTTGTTTTTGAATTACTTTTGAACACATCAGTTCTCAATGCATTATCATTATACGAAGAAATACGCCAAGAGAAAATGGATATAACTGTGTTTAGAGAAATGCTGGTTATAAGTTTACTAAAGTCAGATGAGATGACTTTGTTTGGAAATATTCAAACTGCAAAATATCATGAATTGGAAAAAGTTAAATCAAGAGGACGTTGTTTTGCTTGCTATAAAGAAATGAAGCTTCAAGGTGGACGCGATCATGCTCAAAAGATAACAAGACAAGTAACAACAAAATGTAACGTTTGCATTACATTTTTTTGTATGCCTTGTTTTTTCAATGAGCATAATGCTGTTAAAAAGTAAGTTATACTAGTTATTGTTGTACTAATCAAAGGTAATACAATTTTTTATTTACAAAATTAATTACTAAAGAAAGTATCAGTATTGTTATAATTTTATTAATTTGTTTTATTGGTTTTAATTTTTATATAATTTTAAATACATTTTAAATTGAATTGTCAAGAAGTTGTTATAACTATTAATATATTGGTATAATTACGCCTTTTATATTTTGTTGTATAGGACGGGCTAGGCCGTTCACGTCAAGTATTCAACAAATATCGTTTGTTTTTTAAATTCATTATAATTTATAATCTATGAATTAAGACTTGCATATACCTAAAATAATAAATAGGATATTCTATAAACCAATGTGTGTAATGGATCGCCAAATAAAATAATTAGAAGACAAAAATAAAACTCGAGTATTATTGACATTAATAACTATCGGCTGTTCAGTTCGTAAATATTAGGGTTATTCCAAATAAAATATAAATAAAGTAGAATTATTTATATACCTATCCTATTTGTACAGTATATTATATTTTTCTTATATCTTATTCATTTTATAAAAATAAAATGAGAAGGAATGTAGCTATCAGAAGTGCCAAAACATGATTAAATAGCAAATTATGTTTAGATTAAGAATCAGTTATAAAATTTAGAGTCAGATATGAATCTTAGTATTTATTTCTTAAAATAAATGAGTGTATATATGATACTCAAGGGAAGATTGGCAAGGTTATGTGAGAAGCATATTTGATTCTCAGGACAAGTTTGGAAACACAAATTAAATGAGTATGAGCGGTATAGAAAAAACTACTGTGTATCAGTAATGATACACAAAGCGAAATGGGTAAGGCCAATAAAAACGGTAGGGCAGTTAACTTGTTAATCGAATTTTATTCTGGTCGTTAGATAAAAAATTTTCCAGTGACGTTTGTACATCCATGGACTCACTTATAAAGACGTCAGTGCCTTTATTTATGTTTTGTCGTCGATGTCTTTCTGCACTTTTAATATTATTGTGACTATTTTTATATCCATCAAAGACAACTGTACATTTAGCCCCATAGTGTCTTTTTACATAAGTTAAATAACATTCGACAATACTCCCGTACTTCACATTTGAAGGCCACACAACACGATGCATTAAAAATCCACCATCAACAACTATTGAATTATTCTCATCTAAAATATTGAAAGTGTTTGATGAAGATGGGAAAATATCATATAATATTGATTTTTTTGTTTTTCTCATTTGACCGGTTTCGTCAAACAATGAGAATGGCATAGGAGCTAGCTAATACTTAAAACATTCTTTAAGTTCTTCATCTGATTTCACTTTCAACATGATTCGTTGAAAGAGTAACAGAGGGTCGATTAGAATAATATCTTCTCTGACACAAACACTGGTTTTATTTGAATACTCCAACGAGACTACACGATTTATTCTTTTCAACTTAACATCACTTACATTTTGACCTATAATACTGCATACAATTTTTTCACCTACTTGTTGTGCTTTGTAGCAGTTGACTTTTTCATCTCCTACTACTCTTGTGGATAGTGACATAAGTTCATTTAATTCAGGAAAAGGATAATGTATTTTTAGCCATGATGTAATTTTATCGGAATGTTCACAATCAATTTTTATTCGTGAATCTCGTTGATCAACATGTTGTTCTGATGCATAATTAAAAACATTGGAAAATTCTTCTATTTAGTTATTAATGGAAGTTGCAATTGGAGTGCCTAGGAGCCAACGATTTAATACACTAATTTGAAGACCTCTACCATTTATCAAACCACCGGATGTTTTCATAGACCGCATTAAACTTTGTTCTATTGTCATATCAGTCCACGTTCCACACCAAAATTTACTTGACCTTTTTATAGTAAAGTAACCTTCTTTACAAAATTTATGAAATTCTACTGGACACATATTATGTTGTAGCTGATACATATCTTGAAGATAAATATGAGCCGATTTCGCATACTGAAAATGACTAGAAGAATGGAAAAATAGTATCATTTTTTCCACACACTCCAAATGGAGATACCAATTTCCCATACGTTCCGCACAAATAAATTGACGTAAAAGATGAACTAGATAAAAATATTCCATCTAAAGTGCAGATGTCTTACCTCTGGATGCAATATTTTTCATTTTATTTTTTATTTTATTCATACATTCTTGTAATATGCTCTGGTTATTGATATCTTCTAAAGTCACAGAGGTAAAATGTGTACTTAAAATGTGCTATTTAAGAATTATTTTATATTCTTTCGTCCAATCAAGTTCATCCAAAATTAATTTTCCAAGGCAGAGCTGGGTTAACATATGTGCCCGTATAGCTCTAGAATATGCATATCCAGTTATCATTTTTTCGATTGAATTAGCTGCATATATTGTATTCCATAGTTCTTTTAGACCACTTCCAGCCATTATGTAACCAATTGTGCCCATAAACGACATTAAAAGATGAAAACCACCAAGACCTACTACAATTTGGGGTTCAGATTTTGATTGTTCAACAATATTTCGAGCTTTAATATACAAAGGTTGATCAAAAGTCACAAAACACGTTTTAAATCCCAATTTCTTACATTCAGCCGCAGCGTAAATTAAAACTGAATTTATACAGTCAAGAGAACTTGGCGGTAAGTTAAAAAAAGGTAAAGAGTTTATATGAGATTTTTAATATTCCCGGGAATCAGTAATAGCCTCCATAAATCCATTCCAACCGGGGAATTTCGGAACACCAAGCCTCTGAGCACATATCCAAAATAATTCATCGAAAGACAAAGCCGAAGTATGATTTATTATTGATCTAATATTATCAAAATCTTGTAATATAATTTTTGAACTTATATTGTCTGACTTTTCAAAAGAAATAATCAGAATCGATGCAATATTGCCTATTGTTTCTGCAGTGATAGCTGTTTTTACTTTTCTTATATGTTGATTCAAAGATACAGCATGTGCGGAAACAACACATTAAATTCCGTCCATTGAGTGAAAGGTATTATATCCATCAATTGTACTAATATTAAAATCAGTATTATCGAAAAAAAATTATGAAAAACTATTTCTGGTAATATCGGGCTGCGGATGAAGTAATGAAGATGACTCAAAAACATACACGTCGTTATGAGAAGCGCAAAATCCAAAAGTTGAAAAAATATCTACCGCCCGTTTGGTTCCAAAATTTCTATGTAAATAAAGACTTAAACTTAATAAAATTGTTGAGTTGAATGATCAAGGTCTACAACAACTTATAATGCTATGTGCTAATGCTAAGTATTTATTTTCATATTTATTTTTTGTTGATTTTTTATTTTTACTACAGACTTTGGATAAAAAACCATTAAACTATTGGGAACATCTGTTTCTACATTAATTAAAAACTGTTTAGGCGGAGGAAAATATTCAAGTTCATATGGTATCGATCTAATATCTTCACGTATAATAGTGGCAGCTGTTTCTACAATTCTTAATCGTTCTTCTTTCGTATCACATTTTTTAGAATCATACCACGCATTCGTCAACACTGTATACACCGCGTTTTTGAAACATACAACTGATTTTTTTCCATGAGCTGAGGTTATTAGTATGTCATCACCGTACTTCTCTTTTAATTTATTTCTTAAAGTTTTTCTTCACATAGTCCTTCCATCTTATCAAACAACATCTTAATACTAAATTGGCATTCATTCTCGTTTTCAATAAAATCGCACAAGTTGGAAAAAGCATTTTCCAACCGTTCGTCATGCGGTCGCCCCCTTTTTCTATTTTCGATGGATGGAAATTGATTGCAAAATTTTCGTTCACATGCATTATGGTATTTTGCTTCTTCGGAAACTAAATAAATGACACTATTTATCCGCCTAAGTACCTATTTAGCCCAATTGTCACCTCTTTTATTCGCTACTTCTAAAATTGATTGTTTGAAATAAAGTGTGGAGACATTGAGTATTTTTATTATGGATATATGAGAATACCAGCATTTTTTCAAGTACGTTGGACTGAATTTACTTTTTCACTAATAAATTCTATACTGATTTCATGGCACGCTCTTACTCTTTTTATGCAAGATTCAAAGGAAAAAGAAGCAAAAGGCTTTCTGTTATGTTTGACCAACCTTGATAACTTACGTTTGTTATCATTTTTAGCTGGTACTTTGTTAGTTTTTAATCGTTATCAGCAAAAGTTACAGTCTGATTTTATAACAATTTTAGATTTAACTAAAGAAACAAATTTTGTTGCTCAAAAACTAAAATCATTATACACAGAAAATTTACTTGGAGGGTGGGTTAACACATTACAAGATGAATTAGATCAAAATTTAAATTCAATAAAAGGTATAAAGTTGACTGAAAGTAATTCCTCTCTAAAAAGGCAAAATCGACATCACTTATTTGTGACAGAATCTCGAAATGTTAATGCTGTATGTAAAGAAATCGTAGAAAGTTTGGCTAATTTTTTATTACAACGAATTAATATTAATGATCAGCTAGTACATGTTCTAAAACCATTAACTCAAGTTCAGTTAAAAGAAGTTCATCAGATTATTGGAAATGATTTAGATATAACAAGACTATCATTGGAGTATGCAGAAGTTTAGAATTAGAAGAAATCGAAAATTTACCCAAAATGCCTATGGCTAAACTAGTAGATTATCTTGCAACTTATACTTCATTCAATACAGTATTAATAATTATTTCTAGAGTTCTAGTGGCCAAACCACATAGTGCAGACATAAAACGTCTCATAAGTACGAGTAATATTTTAAAATCTTCAGATCGTCAAAGTCTTATAGTTGAAACAAAAAATGAATATTTGTTCGTCCACTTTAACATGCCACCTTACACATTATGGGATCCAAGACCTGCAACTTTGTTATGGATAAACTCATCAAACCGACGATTAAAAGAAACTTCAAAAGCACGAGAACAAGGTTGGTTTTAAGGCATTTATGATCAATCATTGAATCCTCAGGTCTTAAAAAACGATGTCCTAG